GAGTGCCTGCTCCTGCCACCACTTTTTTTAAACATTTCTTTATTGTGGTAAAATGTACATAACATAAAATTGATCGTTTTAGCCATGTTTAAGTGTGCAGTTCAGTGGCATGAAGTACATTAATATTGTTGTGAGACCATCACCACCTTTTACCTCCAGACCTTTTTCATCTTCCCAACTGAAGCCCTGCGCCCAACAAACAACTCCCCGTTACTTCTCCCACCAGCCCCTTGGCAACCACCAGTCTACTTTCTGTCTCTGAATTTGACTATTCCAGGCACCTCATGTAAGTGGAATCATACAGTATTTATTCTTTCGTGTCTGGTTTATTTCACTTAGCATAATGTCCTCAAGGCTCACCCATGTTATAGCTTGTGTCAGAATTTATTTCTCCCTTTGTAAGGCTGAATAACATTCCATTATATGTAGAGACCACATTCAGTTTATGCACCCATCTGTTGATGGACACTTGGGCTGCTTCCCCCTCTGGCCTATTGCGAACAGAGCTGTAGTGAGCTTGGGTGTGCACGAGTCTGAGTGGCCAGTCCTTTTGAAATTGTCTAGAGTTCAATAAGGCATCATCTCCAGAAGATCCCAAATAGAACCTACATGAACAAGAGAGTTCATCGGGCCCCTCAACTTAGTTCCAGGGATTTGTTTTTATAAAAACTAGTTGTCCTTAGGAAAAAGCAGAGCCCTGAAGAAATGAACACAGAACAGGTAGGTTTGGGCCAAGGTGGAAAAGAGTGGAAAGATCTTGTTCTTGGGACCCTGCCCGCAAAGAACAAGTCAAGGACAGATTCCTGGGAAGCTGTTGATCACCCAGAGGCATGGGAGCCTCTAAGAGGACATTGAAAGGTGACCCTGGAGGGAACCTCTGTAGAGCTGAGTCTAGGGCTTTCCACTGTGAGGCAGGCCAGCCTCTAGTTTTGCCACAAAGAGCAACAGGGTGCCCCTTCCTGCCTGGGACAGTTGGGGAAAGCTCCCTTGGGTGGGGGTTAAAGGGGACACTCTGCAGCCCCTTCAGCTCTAAAGCTTTAAGGATCTGCTCTCAAAAGCCAGCAGTGAGACCCAAGTCAGCGTTTAGGGGAGACCAGACATGGTCTGCAGGCACGATTCCCTCGGTGAACTCTGCATCTCAGCATCTGTGAAGGACATGCACAATGAACATCAGTCCTCCCAACTTCCTTGAGAAAACCCAGCAGGCACCATGTGATTTTTAGCTTAACAGAGACTTTACCAAGCCACCAAATGAAAGATAAGGTTGGAGGAGAGGCTCTGGGGTTGAGAGCCCCCTCCCCAGTCCTTCTTTACCCTGGAAACCAGGAGCCCAGGGCCCCCCAAGGAGGGAGGAGGACAGTGGCATGGGCACGGTCCCCAGGAGCAGGCCCCGGGGGAGTTTGGGCGTGCAGGGGGGAGGAAAGGACATGCACAGGAAGTAGGCCAGTCACAAACATTTGGGGAAGAATAGGGACAGAGTAGAAAGGCATGGACCTGTTCCACTGTTCTGAACCTTTACCGGGGAGCAGGTGGAGGGGGGGGCATGCCTGGGGCAGCAGAGAAATGAGAAATGAGGAGGAGGAGACACTTGCTCATCAGGACAAAGTGCTCAGCTGACAAGAACAGGGAGGCTCCAGGAGGCTTTCCACACAGAAATCCCAAGGGCCCTCTGGCCAGTGTGGCTCAGTGCTTGAGTGTCAACCCATGAACCAAGAGGTCACCAGTTTGATTCCAGTCAGGGCACATGCCCGGGTTGTGGGCTCGATCCCCAGTAGGGGGCGTGCAGGAGGTAGCCGATCGACGTTTCTATCTCTCTATCCCTCTCCCTTCCTCTATCTCTGAAATCAACAAAAACATATTTTACAAAAAAAAGAAGTCCCAAGGGCCACCTGAAGGGAAAAGCACTCACATTTCAGAGCATGCAGAACTTGTCAGGCCCTGGCTCTTCATGGTATTTCCCATAATGATACCTCACTTGTCCCTAAACCTCAGAAGGCTTAAGAAGCTCATCTCAGGACAGAACATGGCCCCAGGTTCACCTCAATTCACCATGACAGACATTTATTGAGCACCTACTATGTGTCAGCCAACGTGCTAGGTGCACGGAGCTGACCCCTTCCTTCCTTCCCATAAGCTCCCAGTGCTGCCTGTTCCCCTCCTCCCCACCCAGCTGCCACCGCCCTCTCTCCAGGAGTTCCCTTCCCCCTAGATACCCCGCTTTTCCCCTTTCTTGTGGAAGGGGAAAATTTCTATTTTAAGGATTTTTTCCCCACTAAGCCCTACAGGGAACCTATGAGGGAGTGGTTACCATAAGACAGAAGTTCTAGCAAACGTCACAGAGTTCTCAAATCAGTCCCTGTCCTCCCTGCAGAGAAAAAGGAGCTAGGTCCACTTCTCCATCCCCCCTCCACCCGCTATTCCCATCCTTGGTAGTCACAGGACCCTCCCAATCTATGAACCGCCCCCTCCCAGAGCAGGCTGGATCGGATGCTGGACTCAGGTAGGCCTGCTACCGGGGGAGTCAGCTCCCCTCAACTTTTTCCAAAATGTGCTTCCTGTTCTTTACTCCGGCCTCCTAGATCTTCTAGATGAGGGAGCCCTTTCCCTGTGTGCCCCCAGAGCTCCTCCAGGCACNGACGTTTCTGTCTCTCTATCCCTCTCCCTTCCTCTATCTCTGAAATCAACAAAAACATATTTTACAAAAAAAAGAAGTCCCAAGGGCCACCTGAAGGGAAAAGCACTCACATTTCAGAGCATGCAGAACTTGTCAGGCCCTGGCTCTTCATGGTATTTCCCATAATGATACCTCACTTGTCCCTAAACCTCAGAAGGCTTAAGAAGCTCATCTCAGGACAGAACATGGCCCCAGGTTCACCTCAATTCACCATGACAGACATTTATTGAGCACCTACTATGTGTCAGCCAACGTGCTAGGTGCACGGAGCTGACCCCTTCCTTCCTTCCCATAAGCTCCCAGTGCTGCCTGTTCCCCTCCTCCCCACCCAGCTGCCACCGCCCTCTCTCCAGGAGTTCCCTTCCCCCTAGATACCCCGCTTTTCCCCTTTCTTGTGGAAGGGGAAAATTTCTATTTTAAGGATTTTTTCCCCACTAAGCCCTACAGGGAACCTATGAGGGAGTGGTTACCATAAGACAGAAGTTCTAGCAAACGTCACAGAGTTCTCAAATCAGTCCCTGTCCTCCCTGCAGAGAAAAAGGAGCTAGGTCCACTTCTCCATCCCCCCTCCACCCGCTATTCCCATCCTTGGTAGTCACAGGACCCTCCCAATCTATGAACCGCCCCCTCCCAGAGCAGGCTGGATCGGATGCTGGACTCAGGTAGGCCTGCTACCGGGGGAGTCAGCTCCCCTCAACTTTTTCCAAAATGTGCTTCCTGTTCTTTACTCCGGCCTCCTAGATCTTCTAGATGAGGGAGCCCTTTCCCTGTGTGCCCCCAGAGCTCCTCCAGGCACTGGCTGGGCGGAAGCCTCCCTCAGCTCTCTTTGAAGGCTTGTAGACCTGGGAGGCAAGAAAACTCCAGGAGCGGACACCAGTGTATGCCGAGAGGGACAGCTGGATGCTGCAGAGTATTCCACTGTGTCATAATTATTTAATAATGTTTAAGTTATTTTCAGTCTTTTACTGTAGCAATAGTACAGGGAAAACTTTGTATGTGTGCCCTGCATGTGTATACGTACATGTATAGGATCAATTCCTAGAAGTGATAGTGTCGGGTCACACAGGGTTTGTACGCTTACAATGCTATAATTATCACCAAGTTGCCATCTAAAGAGTTAAACTAACTTCTGTTTCCACAAGCACTGTATGTCTGCAGATTCACCAGTTATAACTTTGTGCCCTGTCTGCTCCAGTGAGAAGGGTGTGTGGGGTGGGGGTTCCATATCCCCTCATCATGTGCACCAGGGCGTCCTGTGGATGAGCTGCCTCTCAGGGTTAGCCCTTCCCACTTGCAGACTCCCAGCCGGGTGGTTTTCTCCCTGACTCCCAAAGAGTATTGTTAACAAATATTTCGAAGTGCCTACTGTGTGCCTGGCACTGTTCCTGGTGCTGGACAGAGCAGTGGACAAAACCGAAGCCCTGTCCTCATGGAACTTGCCTTCCAGCCAAGGGAGACAGACAATAGACTGACAAGTAGATGCCATGTCAGGGGTGAGATTTGTTAGAGGTAAAGCAGGAGGTCGACAGGGCTGGTCAGTTATACACAGGCCAGTTAGAGAAGCCTTGGCCGATGGGTGATATTGTACAGAACCTGAATAAAGCGAGGGAGGAAGGTTTGAGGATATGTAGTGGCTGAGAATCGCCAGGTGACACAAGCGTTGTATACTTAAAATGGTGAATTTGATGTTATATGAATTATATCTCAATTTAAAAAGCAAAAGAGAGGGGCTGAGAGAATGAGACAAGGCAAGTAGAAGGAAGCCTGGATGGAGGGGTGACCAGTTCCAGTGCTGGGCAGGCTCGCCATAGCCTTGGTCAAGAAGCAATTCCAGCCTCTGGTGAAGTCAGTGGGGGCATGGTTTTGCAGAAAAGCGCTTTGATTTCCAGGAGTCCTCCCGTAGCCAGGGCCCAGGAGTGCCCAGAACCACTGCTGAGCCTCCCCTCAGCAGTCAGGAAGTCTTTAAGCTAATTTCATTTCTCTGAGGATTTTCGCTGACCAGTTGCTAACAGCCAATGATCCTTGCCACCACCTTCAAACCCACCTGTAGCCTTGCTTTGCTATGGCCTCTAATCGCAGCCTTCTGACCTGGCCGGGGGGTCCAGATTGTATGTCCACAGCAGTCCTCCTGCGGCTCAGATCTGGTCCTGGTGCTGAGTTTCTGCTGCCCTCTAATCCTTGGAGATGCTTGTTCCAGGCTGCACCAGGGCTGGGGTGGGGCGCCTGGCTGCTGGGGGCTGGTGGCTGGCACCCTGAGTGGTGATCTCTGGTGCTTACTTCAGCAGCACATATACTAAGAGGTGGTCTCTGCCTCTCTCCTCCACAGCTCTTGCAGTCTCAGGATGTGAAGGAAGATGCTGTCCTGTGTTGCTCCATGGAGGTAAGCAGTGTACTTCAGACACCTCTGACCTCAGAGTTGTGGGGCTGGTAGGAATGGCTTCCTGAATTGTCAACCCAAAACCAGAGTAAATGTTGATGGGGAGACCTGCCCACGGCTGGCTCAAGGGGCAGAGAACTGCTGGCTCATCTAGAGGGAAATATTGAGTGCTGGCATTGTCACTTTCCCTCTGTCCTCAAGGCCACCCTCTCCTTGCATCAGGCATACCACCCAAATGACCTAAGAGATTCCAAGTGACCCTCTGTCCCCAAATATCTCCCTGAGCTTTGGTACTATGGAGTTTGGGGAGGTGCCTGAGGTTTGAATCCCTGCCCCCCCCCCTCATTTGCACTGGCCCATTCAAAGGAGCCCCTTGGGAGGTGCCATGCCCGTTCCCAAGGTGTGGCCACTGCTCCTTGAAACTCTTCCTCTGGGATCTTTCTTCAGACACTTGGCTCTGGCCTAGTCACTAGGACAAACCTTTGCCCTCGGAAAACTGCCCAGAGCCATTCAGAGTGTAGTGCAGTGAGGGGAAGGGCCTCCAGCCTGGGCACCAGGACACGTCAGGCTGTGTAAGCACACCTCTCAGGTGGCTCCTGCCCGGCTGCCAAGGCCACTCCCAAGAATCTCAGAGTCCAGAAGTTCTGGGAGCCCAGAAGTGCTGGGAACCCAGACAGCAGCCTTAGGTGGAAGGGACAGTCCCTCTGTTCATTCATTGGGCTCCAGCTGGGTGCCCTACATGGGGACTTGGGGTGGGGGAGATTGGGGAGAAGGAGAAGGTATGTTCCCTGCCCGTCTGGCCAGGGCTAGATATCACACACACACACACACACACACACACTGGGTGGGGCGGTGGAGAGAATAGTGTGAGTACAGAGAATACATCCCTAAAGATTCCAGGGAGAGGGGTCAGGGTGGGCCCACGAGGTTAAGAAAGGTTTTGTGAAGACGAGAGAGCCTTGAAAACTGGGTGGGATGAGGCTGGGGTGGGGCAGAGATGGAGACTGAGACTATATGGAAAGAACCTGCAGGGGCTGCTGGCCAAGCAAGCACAGATCCAGAGGTTGGGGCTCCTTCCCAATGGGGGCTTTTCTAGATTATTGGGGGCCTCTCTTGAGGGTAAACCCTCTGGCTGGCCCTCTGCCCCAGTTCATATTTCTCTTCCCTTCATGTCACAAGTGTGGGCAGAGGTCAGTGCTGGGGGTGGGGAGGTGGGATTGGAGGCAGGAGAGAAGGGAAGAGGGAAATAGGAGACCTCATGCTGCTCTCCTGCCCTCAGGTTCCACATGTGCACATACAGGTAATAATGACAGCTCATTCCAGAGAGACATCCTAGCAGGTGAAAATTAACACAGTGCGGCCTGATCACCTTTGAAGGGAGCAGGTCACACAGCCACTGAGGGTGTAGTCAGTAGTCAGGGAAGGCTTCCTGTAGGAGGGAAAACTCTCGGGTGAAAGGGAGAAGTGGTGTGTTCCTGGTAAGGGCTTTTTTCAGCCTTGGGCAGCAGACACTATTCTGATCCCTCTTATATCTGCCAACAGATTGGTTGTTAAATGTGGGCTATCACACTCCCCCACCCCCACCCCCAATGTCACAGAGGCCTGGGCCTGCACCTTCCTGAGATAATCTAGCTATTTCTTGTCCCTGCCCCCAGCTCACCCAACCAAGGTGGGTCAGAGGACCACCACAGGGCCCACGTCCTATGCTAACCCCCACTTCTCTGCCCACAGCTGCAGAGCACAGGCCGGCTGCTGGAGGAACAGCTGCCCGAGATGATGACCGAGCTCCTGGCCAGTGCCCGAGACAAGATGCTGTGCCCCTCAGAGTCGATGCTGACCCGGTCACTGCTGCTGGAGGTCATTGAGCTCCATGCCAACAGCTGGAACCCTCTGACACCCCCCATCACACAGTACTACAACAGAACCATCCAGAAACTGACAGCCTGACAGCCAGGGGCCTGGCGGGCGGCCCGCGGGCAGCTGGGGCCCTGGTGCACAGGGCCAGATGGACAGGCGGGAGGACAGGGGTGGCCCTGGAGAAAGAAATGGGGAGGAAGGCAGGCAGAGCCGGAGGCCAATCTGGAGCCGGGCGGGAAAGGGATCAGATCCCTAGGAGCGCCCCCCAGCCGAGCCCTCCCAGCCCCAGCATGCGGCAGCTTCATCAGCAAGGGAAGCATGTTTCTTTTTCATGGTGGCCCGGCCCTTGCCCCTCCTCACTCCCTCCTCCCCTACCCGCTCCCATCAAACGAGTCCCCCCCACAGGGCTTTGTGCAAGGGGTTTCATCTCTGTGACTCCTCCTCTGAGGCCAGCAGCCCGGCACACCAGGGCACCGCTTGGGTCAGAAAGGACCTCAGAAGGCTGAAAAAGTGGGTCGGAGACGGGCTTGCATTGTTCCTGCATGCTGTCAGCCACAGTGGCCAACTGGCAGCAGGCGACGTGTAGCAGATGTCCCAGAGGACAAAGGCAGACACGGTCCCCACCAGCCGCCCGTAATTGACGGCCTTTGTCTATGCGGTTGAGCTGGGGGACAGAGGCATCCCTTCTCCTCCAACCTTCACGCTCCACCACCCCCCAACTTCCA